TTAATTGGGATAGGTCAGCACAAATTGGGCATTTAAGACAGGTCAAAAAAGAAATTTGTTATTTATTTCAACATTTTATTTTTTAAGTTTTCTCTGTGAGGCCTTTTTCATTCTACTGCCTTAAAAAAATTAGGATCTGGGGGCTGGAGAGATGGCTCAGTGGTTAAGAACACTGACTGTTTTTGCAGAAGACCCAGGTTCGGAATCCCAGCACCCACATGGCAGCTAACAACTGTCAGTAACGCCAGTCCCAGGAGATCTGACCGTCTCTTCTGTCCTCTGTGGGCATTGCACAACACGAGTGCACTTACCTAAAAAAAGAATTACATGTATTGATTTTTGTGTGTCAATGTGTGTGGACTTGCATGTGCCACAGTGCATGTGTGGAGGTTCGAGGAAAATTTACAGAAGTTTGTTTTTTTCCTTTTTTTTCCTTCTACCATCTGGGTTCTGAGAGTCCAACTCAGGTCATCAGGCTTGGTGGCAAGCATCTTTACCCACTGAGCCACTGTGCTGGCCCTGAGGAACAGTTCTTATGCAATGTAAAGTCTTGGGAATGTTTAATACTTCTTTGGATTTGAACTGCTGATCATAAATTGATAAAGCAGTTTTTGTCTTTGATTTTCCTTTGTTTCTTTGGGTTGCTTGTGAAGCATTTCTCATCTGCCTAACGGTCTGTGCGTGAATGTGCATGTCACTTTTTGACAGTAATTGCACAGGGTACTCACATGCTCTTGACTACACGGTGGCAGACTCCAAACCTAACCTAACAAACTCAGTCAGATGCTTGAAAATTATTAGGTAATGGCTTTTGAGGTAGGCAAACATCCAGGTTGCCAAACTTTGTTTTCATAGTTTGCTTTTTTTAGTATTTTATTTATTATTTTTATTTTATGTGTGTGTATTACCTGCATGTATGAAGTGCACCCATGTCGTGCAGTGCCTACAGAGGACAGAAGAGGGCATTGGATGCCCTGGAATTGGAGATACAGACAATTGCTAGCCCCCATGTGGGTGCTGGGATTCGAACCCAGATCTTCTGCAAGAACAGCCAGTGTTCTCAACCGATGAGTCAGCTCTCCAACATCCCCCCACACACACACACGCACACACAGGTGCATGCACGCCATGCCCCTCATGTGGAGATCAAAAAGACAACTTTCAAAAGTTAGTTCTCTCCTTCCACCATGTGGGTCTAGAGGATCAAAACTCAACTTGTCAGGCTTGGTTGCAAGCTCCCTTACCTGCTGAGTAATCTCACCTGCCCCTAATGGTTCTCTGCTATGCATTTTCCCCTAGAGGCAGTGGCTAATGCTGGACAAGCACCAATAAGCTGTTCACTTACTCAGTGTTTGCTGCCTGAGGTTGAACTATGTGCTGGGAGGCATAGCTCTTTTGGAGGAAGAGAGGCAGGTGATGGTCATAGCAGGAATGAAGGCAGAAAAATTGCAAATAGCACTGGTTCTGAGGTTCAGTCCATGTACTACTCTCTACAACCCCCACCCCTCACTGCCACTCAGCAGGTATGGACACTGGGCACCTGTTGGTCATTCCTTTCTTGAGACATTGTGCTCCTCTAGTTCCTCCCATACCACCCAGCACTCTCACCTGTCCATACACTGTGCTTAATCATAAGATATACACCCTACCCTCTGTACTGTAGCCTCAGCAGATACTGTCACACAGCAGGGTGGGTAGAGCCCTTCCCACCCTTAACATGGAGAGTGCAGTCAGGCTGAATCTCATCTGCAGTCACCGCCCCTCCACTCCAGGTCGGGAGTCCCTATAGAGACACAGCCTGTACAATGAGTCAGATTACTGTGGAAAATAATGCCATTTTTTTCCCTAGTTCCTCTGGGGACTCCAATCCCCAGGAAGTAATTCTTTATCTAAGCAAAAGTCAGGCAGGTGGGCATTGAGTAGACTGGAAGAGCCCAAAGGGCCTGAAGCCCCTTTATCAGCCATAAGGACATTCTTGGCATCTGTTCCTGAACTTTCTTTGTTTTTTTAATATTTTATTTATTTTTATTTTATGTGTATGCATGTGGTGCCTGCATGTATGTAAGTGCACCCATGTTGTACAGTGCCTGCAGAGGACAGAACAGACTGTCAGATCCCCTGGAACTGGAGTTACAGACAGTTGTTAGCTGCCATGTGTGTGCTGGGATTCAAACCCAGGTCTTCTGCTAGAACAGTCAGTGTTCTTAACTGCTGAGCTATCTCTCCAGCCCCACTGTTGGTGAACTTTCATTAAAGAAGTTGATTCTCATCTTGCTCATGATTTGAAAGTGATGAGATGATGATGATGATGATAATGATGTTAGAATAAATTACTAAATTAGCTTAGATCTAAATTTTATTAACTGTGTGACTTTGAACTTATATGTCTTTAAGCCTCACATTTCTTATTTGGAAAAATAGATTAGTCGTGGTACTTGTCTCTCATTAAGAGAGGATTAAATATAATTTAAAATGTGTATTTTAGCACAGAATTTGTGTTCCATAAATGTAAATGGTCTCATCAATTGTTAACCTTTGTCTCAGGCTACTTTCTAACTTTTTCCCCTTCTTTGGGTACCATTTCTGGAGGTCTTCCTCAGGCCCTCCTTGTCTATATTCACTGTATATTCTCCCAAGACTTTTTTTTTTTTTTTTTGTCTTTTTGAGACAGGGTCTCCCTGTAGTCCTAGCTGGCTTGGAACTCACTATGTAGACCAGGCTGGCCTCAAACTCACAGAGATCCTCTTGCTTCTGCCTCCCGAGTGCTGGGATTAAAGACGTGCACCATCGTGCCCGACTGGCTCTCCCAAGACTTTTAAGGAATGGGCCTTCACTTTTATCAGTATGAAAGCTCAGATAGCTATAGGTCATCTTAAATGACAGTTGAAGTCAGGAAATAAGCCAGGGACACATTCTGATTTTATTGTTTTATTTTAAACTACCTTTGTCCAGGTGCCAACAGTTTTTTTGTAATAACACCCCCCCCAACAAGAGAAATGAGACAAAAGGATACATGTTTTATCCCAACTTGTAGCAGGTGCTATTTGATTTGAACAAAACAAAAGGCCTTTTCTATTCATTTATAATATATGCTCTCTTTGGAGGTACTCCAGTAAGAAACAAAGATATACTCGAAAAGATTTGGGTCTAAGAGACAGAAACAGAGTTCCCATTTGCAATTCACTCTTCATAGAGAAAACTAAATGCCATTAAAAGAATTCTTTTCTAAATAGCCTTAATTTTTTTATGATAGTTTCCTTTGAAATATGAGTGGAATTCTTGACAAGACATATTCATAGCATCAATTAGGACTTCTTTATATACATTTTGAGTGACAATATAGAATTGCTTGTTTGTTATAGCAATGTCTCCAGCCTGCTGTCCCCATCAGTTACTATTGGTAACTGTTGGTATGCTGTTCATCAACAACATACCTTCTAATTCACATAAATGGTTTTTGTGTGTTTGTTTGTTTGTTTTTTAGGTATTTAACTTAGAAAAAGTAAGTTCTATTCTGGAGTTCATAATAAAAACGAGTCAAATAAGTTGGGTCAATAAGTAATAAAATGTGAGTGTTTACTATCACATTTGTATATAAAGTCATTTACTCTTTCCAACAACCTTAGGAAGTGGGTATATTGATTATCCCCATTGCATTGATGAGGAACTAGGGTTTAGCAAAGTTAAGCTTACCTTAGGTCTCAAAGGTAGTAAGAGCTGGTGCCAGCTGGGAACTGGAACCTTGTGAGAACCAGTAACCCCATAGCCTGTTCATTTATTGCCATCCAAGTTTGGGGGGAAACACCAGCAGGATGAATTGCTTTGAAGTAAAACCTTTGAGTTTTCTTTTAGCAAGAGCCCATACATTCAGAGTACAGCTGATAGAAGAAAATTAGCTCATCACAATAGTATGCATATGAATTAGAAGGAAGCCAATCTGTGAGGGACTTCCTGAGAATGAAGTGTTGCAAGTGGAATTGGAAATTGGAGTGGTCCTGTGTTTGCCTTCATGTAATGTAAACAGTTTGAAAAGCTCATTCATTGATAAACTGGCATTTCAGAACATAGCTCTAAAAGTGTTATTTAGTTGAATTTTTTTTAAAGTTCTTCGGCAAATAAAAGTATACTCTTTCCTTCCATTCTTGAATAAATTACTAATTAGGAAGTCCTGTTTGTGTGTTGGTTTTAGGGGTGGCCTAACATATTTCTTGTGTTAAATAATTACCACATATTCATTCTTTTGAAACACATCAATCATAAAGGGGTTGGGGAGAGGAGGGTCCAGTGGCTTGTGAGATGGTTGGTCAAGCACAGCCTGTTGTTATAAAACAGAATACTTTTATTTAATGCCCTGGCCAAGCTGAATGATAATGTGGAACAAAGCTGACTGAAATCAGGACAACTGATATCAAGAATTCATGAAGGAAAAAGGCACTACAGCAAGGAATTTAATGCTTTTGCACCTTCGTTTTTTAATGCATATGAAATAAGCTGTATTGGGCCTTGTGATTCTTAGAAATGAGAACATAGAGAAACGGGTCCACGGTGGGATCTGGGGGTTCTGTAAACAAGCCAAGTACTTATACCTTCCCTTCGGGTGCACATGTTGGGGCTTAGGTACCCCTCAAAAAGCCTGCATTGCTGATTCCCTTCTGCCCGTGCCAGAGAGGAAAGAAAAGGCGAGGCTGACGGATGGGGTTTTTCGAAACACCGCTGCATCCAAACGCAAGGGTGCAGCTGGCTTACCGCAGCATGCCGCAGTGGAGTATTTCAGGGACAGACACAAGGGGAAGTCGCAGCCGAGCCGGAGCTTACCGGGGCTGCCGCCTGCCACCCTTTCTGCACAGAGCAGCCCCGGCAGCTGGGAAATTCCTCCTCCCTCTACGAGGTGGAGGCTGGGTGGGAGCTCAGGTTGAGAGGGGCAGGGTCGGGGGAGGGGGGGCGGCGCTCCAGCCCATCCCTCAGCCGGGGCTGCTGCCAGCACAGCGTCCAGGAGCCCCGAGACGCCCTCCCCAGTGCAGCGGCTCACGGTGCAGGTGGGGACTCCTGGCTACTGTACCTGGCTGCCGCGGAGCATGTGGGCGGCCGGCGGCGGGCATTGCTGGTTATGGCAGCTCGGAAATGAAAGCAGCAGAGGCCGCTGCTTCTGAAGGCTGCGGGGAGATCAGCACCCAGCAAATGAGAAGCTAGTCCTGGCCCCGGAGGAGGAGGAGGAGTTGCTGAGCATCTCTCTCCCGCTCCTGGTGTCCTTTAAATGTGGAGCCTCGCTCTCCGCTCCTGACCCCTCGCTTACATCACTAACCTGTGACAGGCACATCTCTCCACGCCCGGTACCTGCTCCTCCAGCAGCTCCAGTCCTAGGAGCCTCTTTGTATGCGGCAGACATGGCCAGCCAGCAGGATTCGGGCTTCTTTGAGATCAGTATCAAATATTTACTGAAATCCTGGAGTAATAGTGAGTAATAGAAAATTAAGCTTTCTGTTTGTTTGTTTGCCGGATGTTACCTAAGGTTTGAGAAATCAGATCTCAACTGGACACATATGTTTGTGAAGAGGAAGTTTCTCTCTCTCTCTCGCTCTCTCTCTCTCTCTCTCTCTCTCTTTGCATCTACTGTAAAAATAAAAATGTCAGATACTGAACTAGCCCTTCCCAAGTGCAAAGGCTGCAATGGAATTGAAGTAGATTTTGTTTGCCCAAATTTTCAAGCGATATGGCCCTTCAGACTCCGGGGAGTGCAGGCTGGGAATTCCAGGCTGCAAGCCTGCCTTGGTGTTTATTTGATTTGTTCAGGCTTTTATCTAAATATTTTGTGAAGTGCAGTTTAATCGAAGGGGTGTGGCAGGGTTTCAAGTACTTTGTAATTGTTTTATTAGGGTATTGTCTGAAAAGAAAAAAGTACTTCATAGTCCAAAACCTGAGCTGCATCTTTGTTGTGCATAGAGGCATCTGCAGATCTATTTGATCTCTCCCTGGTCCCTGTGGATGATGTTCAGAATGCCATTTAATGTTTGCATTTTTAGAAATCCTAATGATTGCTCTAGTCTGAGTAGCATGATTTTCTGAAATGTAAACAAGCAAGGTTCTGACCCTAATTTCATTGAGCTATAAGAATATTATGGTTCTAAAGTTGCATGGCTGACCTATATAAAGATTTTTAACAATTCACTATTTCAAAAAGACAACCTCTTAGCCATCCTAGGTCTAGGCCAAAATGAAAATGAGGCCTTCAGGTGATGAGTGATGCCTTGTATTTTTCTGAGCAGTTTAAAAATAAAGTCTTTTCAATTTCACCAACAGCCTTTGTGCTTGCTTTGGAGCAGTCTGGTAGGTCTTACAGATATTTAATGGCTTTAAATCAATTTTTTCTAAAACATATTTTGGCATACTAATAACCTACCTGTGCTCAGACAGGTGACAAATGTCTCCTGCACGAATGACCTGTGGCCAACATTGTTCTTATGTAAACAAACCTAGGCGAGAGCACTTGGGCTCAAATCGCCTTGAGGAAAGAGTCCAAGAACCTACATGAAGGTATTCAGGGCTGTGTGTCTGCAAATGATATCCACAGAAACCATTTTTCCCGGGTCATTTAGCCCTACTATGCACTATGGGGTTTGCCTGGAGCTGGTTTTTTTCCAGTAGGAAGCCATTTGAGAGCGTTACTGTTACCCAAACAGCATTCTTTATTTGTTAGAGCCATAAATCATTTAACTTGGACTTATTCTTTGTATACTCCATGTTCGTAGATGAATCTTCCTTTGTCTGTGTACCCTTTGATTAGTGAAAAGAATCTGAAATACTGGACACTGTCTAGATTAGCTTGTTTTGTTGAAAAAAAAAACTCACTTATTAGTTTGACGTTAGTATGTGGTTATTAAATTCCATTTGATTTTTCCAGAGCCATATTATTTTCTTCCATCAATTTTTGTCAGTGCCTTTAGATAGAAAATTATGTTGTGACAATACTGAGCCTGGTGGGATTTCTTTTCAAATGACTCTAGGCAAAATTTGTATTCTCTCCACCCTTCCAAAACTCTTTCTTCTCCCTAAATCCTTGCACCAGGAACGCCTCAAAATTACCTGTGACACAATTTCAAGTTCTTGGAGTTCATTCAGCAAAGACTTATTGAGTACCTACTACATGCCAGGTTGTGGAGCTGAAAAAGATGAATGGGACATAGCCCTGACCCTCTATGTTAATCCTTTTATTTTAGAAGAGTGAAGTTGGTAATCCTCCAGTGTTCTTGGGGGCTGGGGGCAAGTCCGGATGTTTTTTACTCCTTTCTTGAAAGAGGAAGAGGAAATATACTTTATGCCTATCTCCTTACCTACTTACAACCTAGCATAGTTCTCATTGCTAAGTTTTACATATTTTCAGTAGCAAAGAAAGAGAGGAATTTGCCTGTGCAGAAGACAAAGTAGAAAACAGAAGCCTTAGGGCTCAACCTACTCAGTGTAACCTTGGCTGAAAGGGTGCACCACAGGGTAAGCAACTAACCGCGTGCTCACGCATGCCTAGCATCCCAGGTTGGAAAGGCCAGGATGTCCGCCTACATACCTGAATGGAGAACCAGCCCCCTAATTATATGGTGGTGCTTATTTATACAAGTGCAGCAATTAAAAAGCAATAAAACAAACTCTGCAACTACAGCTGACTGCTTTGTGAGGCAGCAGTCAGAGGAAAGGTGATTTCAGAAACATTTCCAGGTTTAGGTTTCCATTTAATAATAAAGGACACATTGTGGGGGGTAATGTCATTTTATGTATCTTTGTCTCATCAAAAGAATTAAACCAATCAAGCAAACCAGTCGTTGCCTGGCGAGGTGTGTTAACTTTTTACCCCATGTTCATTTTGACAGCCCCCTCTTCCCAGGCACACCCATTCTGTCAGGCTGCCCTTTGGTTTGAATGGAGCTGGGAATTGCAGTGGCTTCGATGTCTGGAAATGCAGTCTCCTACACAGAACTCCCTGGCAAGCCTTGCCTTATGCTTGGATACCTGTCCTGTTACTTCAACTTTTGTATTCAAACCTTATCCAGATGTGACCAATATGCTTCTCAGCTGCTGCCCTGAGTATTAATGGCCATCTCATAACTTGGGATATTCATTGGTCTCCTAACATCAAACTGCTACATAGCTCCCTCTGGGCAGTAGCGTCTTTGACAGCCCATCAGTGTCTTCACTGCTCATCGTGTGTCCTCTGTCCTCTTGCTTTTCTCCTTGTCCTTTGTGGTCCACTAACTTGTTCCCACATCCCTCCCTGTGCACATCTCCACCCCATAATCTGGCAGGCCCTCATCACAGCTCTCACTGCCAGGGGGTTTGTTGCCAGTCTTCTAGACCCTGTATTTGTGTGATCTTGGATTACCTACTCTCTCAGTTCCTCATCTGTGAAATGGAAGCAAATACTGTGGGTGCCTCATAGGCATCAGGTGTTAAGCTACAAGGCATGTGGAATCATATCTAACAAGTTTTAAATACTCAACAGATGTTCAAACAATATAAATTGTTGAACATCTCCTCTCCCTCCTGAACCTACTTAAACTATGACTTAGGCCATTTCTTCACTTCACCTTGGCATCTGTGATGGTTTGAATGAAAATGTCTCCCATAGGCTCCAAGTATTTGGACATTTTGTCCTCACATGGTGGCACTGTTGTGGGAGGTTTTAGAAGGTGTGGCCATCCTGGAGGAAGCATGTCACTGGGGGTAGGTTTAGAGAGTTCTTAAGCCCTGCCAGATCACCAGTCACTCTCTCTTGCTTCGTGTGCCTGGGTGACAATGTGAGAGCTTAGCTTTCTGCTCCTCCTCTCCAGCCACCTCTGTAACCATGCCTACCCACCAAGACAGACTGTAATTCCCCTGGAACTGTAAGCTCAAATAAACTCTTCCTTCTGTAAATTGCTTGGGTCAGTGTTTCTATCACATCACCAGAAAAGTGACAAATACAGCATCCTTGGTGGATTATTTTATGAGTATTCAACTCTTGTTATGCCCCAGGAGCAGGAAACTACATGGAGAAATAACAATTAGTTGTGTTTACTCTGGGCTATTGTTTTTCCAGATATACTTTTAAACTTTATCCCCTTTTTCATCTCAACTACTGTCACATACTTCTACTGTCCCTGAGTGTGTGCCTTCCAGTTACATAGGAGGTAACTTGGGAATTTCTTAGTGGCAGAAAATTACCTTGACCTTTTAGGTTTGCTCCAGAAGTTTGGAATGGTTAGCTTCAAGCTGCTTCACAGGGGAGGAAGACTTGCACAGAGCTAGTGTGTGGGCTTCCCTGTAGTCTGAAAACTCTAAATAGCTTCCTTGTGCTGCTAACTACCCAGTAATGCCCCAGGAGCACTGGCCTAATGAGATGAGTGAGGTATGTACAGAATCCATCTACACCTTGCTCTTTCCAGGGCAGTGTAGACCCTTCCTATAATATTTAGCCAATCTCGTTACACCATTGAGGAAAACTTCTGCCTACTCATTAACTTTCTCAGGTCTTTAAAATTTCTACACAGATGAACTACACTTGAAGAACTGAATGATATCTTTGCATAGAGATTGGTGTGCACTGAAAAATATCTTAATGTTACTCTAGGAAAATTTTGAATTGGTGCAATTCATGTCAGGATTTTTTCCAGGTACCTTGTAGTAAGTTACATTATGTTGATAAGGACAGTATCAGCTGAGTGTGGTAATCCCAGCACCTGGGAGAGAGAGAGGTGGAGGCAAGTGGATCAGGAGTTCAAGGTTATCCTTGCTGATATATGAGGTCTTGTTTCAAAAAAGAAAGAAAGAAAGAAAAAGGACACTATCCATTCAGCACAGAAATGCTGATTCAACCAAGTTAGCTATCCAGAGAATTCATGGGCAAGTATGGATAGAAAACACCTTGGACCAGTTGTAAAGCAGTACTCATTGATAAATTTTCATGTGACTGGTAAACCTCAAGGACACTATGAGAAAGACTTGACCTTTTTTATAGTATTAATTTAAAGACCTAGAAAATTTAGATTAATGGAGTTGGGGACTAGAGAGATGGCCCAGTGGTTAAGAGCACTGGCTGCTCTTGTGGAGGACCCAGTTTCAGTTCCCAGCACCCACATGGCAGCTAACAACCATCCATAACTCCAGTTCCAGGAGTTCCAGATCCAGTGCCCTCTTCTGACCTCTGAGGACATTGTACAACATGGGTACACTTACATACATAGAGGCAATACACTCATACACATAAAATAGAAATTTTAAAAAAAGATTAGTGGAGTTGCCTGAGTCTAACTGAGTGATACAACTCAAGGGCAGACATGTTTTGGTGTGAGAGTGTGTGTCTGTGTGTCTGTGTCTATGTGTCTGTGTATCTGTGTGTCTATGTGTATTGGTGCTCAGGTTGGAACTCAGGGCCTCATGCAAAATGGACAAGTGTCCCACCAATGAGTTATTCTCCACCCATTTGGATC